TTCAACAGATAATTAGAACTGCAGAAAAAACAATTGCTACCAACCTGCCTTCCATTGAGGACCTATATACTGCACTAGTCAAAAAGAGGGCTGTGAAAATATCTACAGACCCCTCACATCCTGGACATAAATTGTTTCAACTTCTACCCTCAAAACATGCACCAGAACACCTAGACACAAGGACAGTTTTTTACCGAATGCCATCACTCTGCTAAACAATAACACTGTCAAACTGTTTAGTAATACTGTGTTACTATTATTCTTCTCATCCTTCCTAGTACCTATCTCCTCCTACTTATTACTATAACCTTGCTTGTATCTCTATGATTTGTATTGTTTTATTTGTTTCCTAGTATGATTTGATTGCTTATTTAGTAACCTATGACTATCACTTAAGTGTTGTATCTTATTTATTTATTTATTTATTTATTTATTTATTTATTTATTTATTTATTTATTATATTTCTATACCGCCTTTCTCCCGTAGGACTCAAGGCGGTGTACAGTCAAGAAAAATATAGACACACAAACATCATAAAATTGCTAATTAAAATTATTACTTAGTTTGGTCAATTAAATAAAACCCAGAATTAGATAACATTTAAAAAATCATTCACATGTTCGTATGTTTAGCCCCGCCTGTTGGAACATCAGGGTCTTGAGGGCACGGCGGAAAGCACGGAGATCAGGGATATTCCGTATCTCCAGGGGCAGTTAATTCCAAAGGGTTGGAGCCCCCACAGAGAAGGCCCTCCCCCTGGGAGTCGCCAGTCGACATAATTTGACAGTACCTTGAGTAGTCCCTCCCTGTGAGAACGAACTGGTCGGTGGGAGGCTATTGGTGGCAAAAGACGGTCTCGTAGGTACCCAGGTCCTAAGCCATGGAGCGCTTTAAAGGTGATAACTAACACCTTGAATCGCACCCGGAAGACCACCGGGAGCCAGTGCAGCTCGCGTAGGAGAGGTGTTACATGGGCGTAACGAGCTGCGTCCATAATCACCCGCGCGGCTATGTTCTGGACCAGTTGGAGCCTCCGGGTGCTTTTCAAGGGGAGCCCCATGTAGAGAGCATTACAGTAGTCCATACGGGAGGTAACTAGGGCATGAGTGACCGTGCGCAAGGCGTCCCGATCCAGAAAGGGACGCAACTGGCGGATCAGGCGAACCTGATAAAGGGCACCCCTGGCCACGGCCGTCAAATGATCTTCTAAAGATAACCGTGAATCCAGGAGGACACCCAAGTTGCGGGCCCTCTCTGTGGGGAGCAAGATCTCATCCCCTATTGTCAGTGATGGTACCAGCTGACTATACCGGGACGCTGGAAGCCACAGCCACTCGGTCTTGGAGGGATTGAGTCTGAGCTTGTTTCTCCCCATCCAGATCCGCACGGCCTCCAGGCAACGGGACATCACAGCAAGGGCATCATTGGGGTGGTCTGGGGTGGAGATGTATAGCTGTGTGTCATCAGCATACTGATGAACACTCACCCCAAAACCACGGATGATCTCGCCTAGCGGTTTTACATAAATGTTGAACAGAAGGGGTGAGAGGACTGACCCTTGCGGCACCCCACAAATAAGGTGCCTCGAGGTCGACCTCTGCCCCCCTGCCAACACAAACTGTGAACGGTCAGAGAGGAAGGAGGAGAACCACCGAAGCACGGTGCCCCCTATTCCTAACCCCTCCAGCCGGTGCAGTAAGATACCATGGTCGATGGTATCAAAAGCTGCTGAGAGATCTAATAGGACCAGGATAGAGGAGCAACCTCTGTCCCGAGCCCTCCAGAGATCATCCACCAATGCGACCAATGCCGTTTCCGTGCTGTATCGTGACCTGAAACCCGACTGGAACGGATCCAGATAGACAACTTCATCCAGGTATCGGGGTAGTTGTCGCGCCACCACACTCTCAACAACCTTCGCAACAAAGCGAAGATTGGAGACTGGACAATAATTTGATAATATAGCCGGGTCCAGGGAAGGCTTCTTGAGGAGGGGCTTCACAACTGCCTCTTTCAAGGCGGCGGGAAAGACACCCTCACTCAGAGAAGCATTTATAATCCCCTGGAGCCAGCCTCGTGTAACCTCCCGGGAGGCCAGTACCAACCAGGAGGGACACGGGTCCAATAAACGTGGTAGCGTTAAGCTTGCCCAGAATCCTGTCCACGTCCTCAGGAGCCACAGAGTCAAACTCTTCCCAGATAACGCTCTCAAGACCTGCCCCCGTCTCCTCCCCTGGATCTACCCAATCAGAGTCCAGGCCTTCCCGAATCTGAGCGACTTTATCATGCAGGAATTGTACAAAATCCTCAGCTCGACCCTTTAAGGGATCTTCCCGTACCCCCACCTGAAGTAGGGAGTGGGTCACCCTAAACAGCGCAGCTGGGCGGTTCTTTGCAGATGCAATAAGAGCGGAGAAGTAGCTAGACTTCGCCGCTCTTATCGCCACTAGGTAGGTCTTAATATAAGATCTCACCTGTGTTCGGTCAGATTCAGATCGGCTTGTCCTCCAATCGCTCTCCAGGCATCTTTTCCGACGCTTCATCTCTCTCAGCTCCTCGGAAAACCAAGGAGCTAGACGAGATCGGCATCGGGTCAGAGGATCTTATGATTCTTGATGAATGTATTTTTTTCTTTTTATGTACAGTGAGAGCATATGCACCAAAGACAAATTCCTTGTGTGTCCAATCACACTTGGCCAATAAAGAATTCTATTCTATTCTATTCTATTCTATTCTATTCTATTCTATTCTATTTATAGAATTTTGTTGTCACTCACATTAAATAAAGAACATTTGAACTCAGCACCTGCTCCTTAAACATTTCCTTCATAATATAAGTCACATAGATATTATTTTTTTCCAGAGGACTTCTACATTTTGTGTATATTCATACTCAAGATAGGAATATTGAGGTCTAGACTTAAAATTTGCAGTGAATTTTCCTCTCGAGGAAAACAGGATTTCTTGGTTGTTATGGCTAATTTTCAGATGCAAAAGTCTGTCCGTTGAAATTCAAGATAGGGCTGGAATAGACAGGTAAAGATCTTAATGATCTATGTTATTTAATTATGTCTGAAAGGGAGACTATTGGGAGTCTCCAAACAAGTAATCTACTATGTGGTCTTTTTGAAGTGATAATTGTAGGAAGGATACTGTAAAATCTTCATTCCCTCTCCACTCCAGGGGAAGGTTACTGCAAAATCCTCATTTTGATCAGCTGGGACTCAGGAGGCAGAGAATAGATGGGGACAGGGCCAGTCAGAGGTGGTATTTACCGGTTCCCCGAACTACTCAAAATTTCCGCTACCGGTTGTTCAGAACTGGTCAGAACCTGCTGAATACCACCTCTGGTCTTTCTCCGAGCTTGCTGTTTAGCTTCCGAATATTTCATTACCAAACTGTAACATTTTCAGCAAGGTTTTTTGTTCATTTATATTGGTTATAATCGATTGGCTAATCGATTAGTCTTGTGACTGGTTGCAGTACAAGACTGGTTGAATCACAAGACTCATTGAATCACAAGACTGATTCTGGTCTTGTGACTTTGTGACTTCTTTGTGACTTGTGAATGGTTGTGACATACAGAATTCAACTGGTAAGAGGTTGGTCCATTTTGTCGACTGTTGGTGTTCAGATGGCCTACATCCTTATTGGTTCATATGCTACTTCTATTTCAATGTGTTTGTTGATGGACCTGTTGGTAGAATGCTCCGCTTCAATAAACTTGCATGCTGATGAGTTTTGGCATGGCAGACGACTTTGGCTTCACCCTATTCAAACCAGTGTTGTTTGTTGTCAGTGTAACTGGTGATCAAGGACTGTTGTTTGACAACTAACAGATGTTCAACACCAGAATCCATGATGAATTTATCACAGTTTAGAATTTAGCCATTTAAATATATTCTTGTCCCAAAATTACCAAAGGAGGAAAACCTTAAATGCTTAATGAGATCAATATTGGCAGCATAAATTCTAAACATAAGCTGAATTCTTGCCATAAGTAAACATTGAACATTTGCTTTAATGAGTTGTGGAGATTGTCCGTAAAGAATATTATCCATACATGTTTTTGTATGTCTTATTCCGGAAAAAGGTTTCAGTGCTTACTATTTATTTTATTAAGCAGGTATTTGTATTTTTGTTTTAAATCTCTCAAAATGCCTATTTAATTACTAATGATAGTGCAACCAGACAAATCAATGTTGGAAATGTGACAGCTTTTCACCCTATATATCTTAAGTTCAAAGACTTTTTGAATTTAAAGATGTCATTTAAAATATGACTGATGAGTCTTAAGTTCAGTGGGATGGGAAAAGGAGAGACAAGTCCCATTCTCATTTGTTTATCAATGAATAATCACTAGAATGGATCACAGCAAGAATGAAAAAAGAAAATCCCATTGAATCAATAATTCTTGCATCACACAAATCAAATGATGACATCATATTGCTTGATATATACTAGTATATGAACAGAACCACTTAAATTTTTTATATTTAATTATTCAATCATGTGAAACCTCTTACTGATTATAAATTCATAGACAAATTATCACAAAGTCTCATCACTGTGGTCTAGTTATCAAGTGATGAATATGCATATGTGGATCATCTTTTAGTGATTCTAAATTTCAGTGTATTTATATATCTGCATAATTTGTAGCAATGATGAAAATATCTAAAACTGAAGTAGCATAATCTTATTGACATAAAATAATAAAGTTGTTTAATTTTTTTTTGTTTATAAGAGCTAAACCAAAAAAAGCTATTTAAATAATTGATATATAGTTGGAGGAATTGTTTGTAATGATTTCAGAAAAGAGTAGATCAGGACATAAAATTTCATTCACACTTTATATTCAGATTATTAGATTTTGTAAATATTGATTTACCTGCAAAAACATGAAAGTGCACATGTAAGTAATTGATGGTTCAGGAAAGATAAAAAAATATTAATGTAATGTGTGTGTTGATTACGATTTGATCTGTCTGTTTTCTAGGCCTTCAGAACAAAAGATGGATATATTGTAGTAGGAGCAGGAAATAATCAACAATTTGCTACTGTTTGCAAGGTATGATGTTCAGAAAACAAAATAACTGACTTAAATAAGCTGTTTCTCTGATTTACTAGCAATTAGTGAGTAACTACTAGGAACTCTGGTGATGCAGTGGTTAGAATACAGTATTGCAAGCAAAGCCTAAAGTTCAATCCTGATAGAGCTCAAGGTTGACTCAGTCTTTGACCCTTCTGTAAAATGAGGACCCAGACTCTTGAGGGCATTTTGGTGACATTGTAAACCACCCAGACAGAGCTATAAAGCACTATAGGGCGGTATATAAGTCTAAGTGCTATTACTTGTTCAAAAAATGACAATAGGTCATGTGTAGTTTTAAAAGGTACTACAGTGTGAAGAAATTATTTTCACATGAAAATCTAGTAGTGGTTGTAATTGTATCATTTAGGATTAAAAGTTCACTTGCAAATCTCCCTAAATCCCAACACTTGAAGGAGAAAATGTCTGATTTCAGGTTAATAGGGTTATTCTGTCATCCTAAGTGAAACTCTTTAATTCATTATTTTAACCTATGGTTTGCATTTTTTTTCTTGTTACAAATTATGAAAGCAAGAAAGCAGAAAGGGCTAATTATTTAGCAATTGACCTAAATAAGTGGCAGATTGGCAGATACATGTACCAATACCATTGGTGGCAGATACATGTACCAATACCATTTTTCATTTCTTCAGAAATATGGGCTTTTGTTCCACTTCTACTGTACACTAAAGAAGTTGGTATTGCTTAAAACCCTTACCAGAATAAAAACATAGTAAATCAAAATTATCAACACAGTGGCAAATATAATTAATACTATTATATACAGATTTCTAAACATCTTTGACTTGTAGAAATAGTTTTGTAAATGTAGTGAAATATCATGGTAGAAATATTTGAAATAACTAAATGGATGAAATATAGAGATGATGTTTATACTGTGTTTCCCTGAAAATAAGACCCTGTCTTATATTTTTTTGAACCCCAAAATAAGCACTTTGCCCTAATTTTCGGGTGTGTGTCTTATTATTTTGGGGCACGTGGAGCAAGTCGGTGCTCCTCTTGCCATCTTACCTGATTTCTAGCTCCATCGTGTTTCTCGTCATCGTGTGCAGGGAAACAAGTTGTACCGTAAAAAAAAAAATTCTCACGAGTTCAATCAACTTCTCAAACTTGCAAGTTTTTTTAATGGTACAACTTGTTTCCCTGCACACAACAGCGAGAAATGTAACAGACCTGGAAATCAGGAAAGACAGCAATAGGAAGCCCATCTTGCTCCACGCACCCCAATGGCAACAGCAGCCTGGCTGCTTCCCTTCCCTGATGTCTCTTTATTGAGAGGGGTGGCAGGTGGGGAGGGGTGGAGTGGGGGAGAAGTGAGACGCATGGAGTGAGATGGGGTTTCTCTTGCCATTTCTTCTCCCCCCCTCACTGGGCATGGCAGGGCTTCCTGCCCCTCACTTAACCACCTGCCCCTTTTATGGATGCAATTTGGGGGTGGCAGGGAGGGGAGAAGTGAGACGTGGGTCTTACCTGCTTTCCAGCTCCATTCTCCGCTGCACATGCAGGACAAGAAAAGTGTGTGCGACTATGGAGCTGGAAAGCAGGTTAGTGGAGGAATGTGGCTGCCTTGGGAGGGGTGGGGGGGTTAGGGATCTCTCTCTCTCTCTCTCTCTCTCTCTCTCTCTCTCTCTCTCTCCCTCCCTCTCCCTCTCCCTCTCCCTCTCCCTCTCCCTCTCTCTCTCTCTCTCTCTGTGTCTCTCTCTCTCACACACACACACATATACATACACACACTGTCGTGTCTTTGGGAGCTCTGTACAGACACACATCCCAGGATTGCAAAACTGAAGGCTTCGGATAGAGCATTTGGGGGATGTGCATCTGTGCTGCGATCCCAAGTAAAGAACAATTGCCAGGAAAAGGTGAGGGGGGGATTTTGCCTCTTATCTTGGTCTCAGTCTGTGCTGAGCTTCAGAACAGCATGAGAGGCAGGAAAATCCCCCCCCCATTTTCAAGCCGATCACAAAAACAAGCCTTCAGCATATTCCAGGATTGCAACATTGTGCTCCAAAACTTGCCCTGCACAAGGCAGGAGCAGACAGATGGAGGAAGGGGTGATCTCTCCCTCCCTCCTTCATCCTGCTGCAGGGCTACCACAGAGCTCCTGCCTGCCAAAGCAACAGGATAGCCAAAAGCAGCGCAGCCAGTAGAGCCCTCGCAAGGCCAACAGCAGCAGGTACAGCCGGGCAGAAATGGGGGACGGAGCAGGCAATCCCAACACGCCTCATGGCTTTCTACCTTGTAGCAGCAGCCTGCACAAGCACACAGCCAGCACGAGAGCTAGCACCCACCAGGGCCAAGGGCCGAAGAGCACCGTTCCAGCATGTTTTGGAAGGGAAATTAAAAAAAAAAAACCCTGCAGTCTCTTGCTGCTGCCGTGCAAACCCCAGCATGGACAACAGAAGCTGTGCCTTCTCCCTTCCAAAACATGCCGGGACGGCACCAGCAGCAGGCAAAGGCAGCGCTCTGATCAAGAGTTCTTGCAAGGCCAGCAGCAGTAGGTGCAGCTGGGCAGAAGGGTCAGGGGGAGGAGCAGGCAATCCCAATACTCTGTGGCAGGACTGGGGCTGGCAACACCTCCAGCGCCCAGAGAGACAGAACGAGAGCAGCTCCCAGCCCTCGCCGGCTCAGCTGATCCGTGGGCCGTGATTAAGGGGCTGAGCAGCCATGAGGTGACCAAGGACGGGAAGGGCTGCCTCCTGTGTTGGCCACGCCCACCCCTTCACTAGGTCTTATTTTCGGGGGGGAGAGGGGCTTATTTTAGTGCATGCGCTTGAAAACCTGATTGGACTTATTATCCAGGGAGGTCTTATTTTCGGGGAAACACGGTAATAACTATACATATAAATATATTTTAAAGAGTGTGGTCTTATTTATTAAAATGTTCAATAAATCACACACTTATATTAAAGCTTAGAACTTTAGCTATCATTATGTTCCTGAATGTATTTTAATGTATTTGATTTAGCTTCTCAGTTTGCCTGAAATCATTCATGACCTCAAGTACAAAAATAACCAGCAGCGAGTGGTAAATAGGAAAGAACTTATTGGAAAATTGTCAGCCAGGTATGCCCTCAACATTTCATATGTTTATTTGCAAATTTATTTCATAGAATTAATCATATTGAACATTCTGCATGTATGTGTTGTGTAAATGATTACTATCATTTAAATAATATTTAAGCTTTTTTGATACGGCTAGTATTAATGGCAGGGCAATGTGTACTAATAAAACTGTCAGATAACAAAAGTTTCTTCAAGCAATGTTGCTAAATTAATCTTTTCTTGAGAAAGTTTGGATGTAGGCATAACAGGAAAAATGATTAAAAATAGTAAAAGGAAGAAAAGAAACAATACCAACAAGAAACAAACAAATATTGGAGTGTGCATGCATGTGTGTGCACACGTGCACGGAGACACACAGACAATGTAGATAATACATAATTTTATCTGACTTCCGGTTGACGTCCCGTTGGGAACTGCTGGAAAATAGTGGAGCTCCTCCAGGCTCCATGAAATGCAGCTGGCAACTGCTTGCCGGGAGACCCTATGGTCAAGCTGCCCTGGAGGGATGGTGAAGAAAAGAGAGACACTTCATTGATCATGAGGAAACCCCAATTTCCTCGTTGATCTGAAGAAAGCTCCCACGAATGGCAGCAGGGACGACGGCCATCTTGCTATCTCACAAGCCAGGACAACCAGGACACTTAAGATCTTGTGCTGGAGCAGTGCATGAACAGAGCAATGAAACTGGGTGCAATAACTTCCAACTTTTGCCCCAAAGATTTAACCCAAAGTAAAAATTTTAAAAAGAATCTCCAAATAGGAAGGAAGCGGCGATTGGATTTCTGGAGAAGAATTAAAGACTAAATATTATAGAGAAAGACTAAAGATTAAAGACTCAGACGCAAAAGAAATATTTAAAGGATGTTTTGAAACACAGAAAGCCTGGAAAAAGTCAAATAACATTGTGAAGAGTGATTATTGGGAGAAATTGCTTTTCTAAATTCTATCTTTAACCCCCCTGAATGGTTGATAGTCAGGTGTTTTGACTTTTACACTCTGTTGAATGCTGGAATTGGGAGCAGAGGAGCCATTACTGGAGGAAGAAGATTACTGCAACCTGGGAAATTTCAGTGAAAGTGATGAAAGGAGAGAAAGCAAACAACACCTGAAAGGCTATTTGACCTTGACTTTATCATAGATTTGGAGGCTTGGAAATATCTACTGAGCTGTTTGTACTGATTTGTAAAGCAACTAAAATAGAAATACCAAAACTTTATTGAATCGTTCATTGAAAAGAGGATTTGAAAGATTTGAGAAATCTTGAGGAAAGATTTGGTGGGCCAAGCTGAATTTGAATCACTAACATCATTTGATAGATCATCAAGGCAAAAGAAGAAAAGCGATAGAAAGGGGGTGGGGAAAAAAGGGGGGGAAGAGAAAAAAAAAGAAAAGACAAATAAGACTAAAATTTGGACATTTGGGAAGGTGTAAGTTAGAAATTATAAAGACTGTAAAATATATATAGCGTTTAAGGACTGGAAAGCTAGGGGATTGGAGGAATAATTTTGAGATTGATAAATTTTATTAATAATTGACTTTTTGGGAGTTTTTTAAGATATTGGGATATAGAGTAATTTTTAATATATTAATTTGGTACAAAATTACTCAGCTGGAGAGAATAAAGTTCTATGAAGAAATATTAATGATGGCTAAAAAAATTTATGAAAGTGTGACAAAGAATCATAAGGAGATGGGATTGTCCAAAGATAAAGAAGTGAGTATAGAAGATCCTCAACAAATGGTGGAAAAAGATGAAATAATATTCAGAAGACAGGTGACAAATTAGAAGTAGTGGTGGAGGAGACAAATCAAAATAAGTTACAAGAAAACAAAAATACTGAAAAGATAATAATAAATACTAAGAATCAAACAGATAATTCCTTAAGAGCTTACAATAGAAAAGAGAGAAAAAAAGAAGACTTTCCAAAAATAATGAAAGGGTTATAGATGGGCATCCAAATGATGCAGCAGAAGGAGATAAGGAGTAAGGCAGAGAGAACATTCAGTCTGTGTAAAAATGTTAGAAATATAGGATCCCAAGAGAGAAATATAAAAAAATCACCAAAAAGTCAATAAATGATGAAATTCTAAAAAGGCTGATAGATAGAGACATAATATCTTGTAATACTACTATTGTATTTGTAGAAACAAATAGAAAGTATAAATTGGGGATACAGTAATACAAAAATAGATATATAATACAATTTATTATAACATAAATATACTAATGTTAGGAGGTGGAAGATTGTGATTAGGAATATTTAAATGTATTATTATAATTAACAGTGTGCAAAAAATATATTGGCATTTATAGCTTTTAAAGACTACAAATTCTGGGGACTCAGAGTTATAATCCTGGGACCAATTAAATTTTACTAATAAATGGTTTTATTGGTGTTTATAGAAAACTGAGATATTGGAAATATGGTGGAATTTGAGTAATATTTAAAATATTAATTGGTGATAGGGGTCAACAAGCACACTGTATGAAGAAATGTAATGGATGTTGAAATATATTTTTGGAGAAAGCGATACAGATTTTTGGATACAGTAATACAAAAATAGATATATAATACAATTTATTATAACCATAAATATACTAATGTTAGGAGGTGGAAGATTGTGATTAGGAATATTTAAATGTATTATTATAATTAACAGTGTGCAAAAAATATATTGGCATTTATAGCTTTTAAAGACTACAAATTCTGGGGGACTCAGAGTTATAATCCTGGGACCAATTAAATTTTACTAATAAATAGTTTTATTGGTGTTTATAGAAAACTGAGATATTGGAAATATGGTGGAATTTGAGTAATATTTAAAATATTAATTGGTGATAGGGGTCAACAAACACTGTATGAAGAAATGTAATGGATGTTGAAATATATTTTTGGAGAAAGCGATAAAGAATTATAAAGAGAGAACACTATTGTTTAAAGATAAAGAGGTGAATATGGAAATTAGTAAAGTTTGAACTTCTCAAGTTTCATTCATTCACTGCAAAAAGCAACAATTCTGGCTTTTCATGATGTGCAAACTGGGCTCCCTGATTGTAAAATATTAATATTACAGACATACTTTAAAATATATTTAGTTAAATTCAGTAACATGTAGGATTTCAGTCATAATATTATTTCATCTTTGTATTTGTTCAGAACAGTGCATGAATTCCTGCTACCAGTAACTCTTATCTTACAAGGATAAAGTCGCATTGTACTAACAAAAACAGGATATGTGTATCTAACAATAAAGTATGATAATAAAGTATAATTATATAAGTGGTCCTGAGAAGGCAATCCAGTAAAAGAGTGGAATTTTGGTTCAGGCAGGATAAAGATAATGTATCTGATTTGCAACCGGATGACCTTGGGACAAATATTACAGTGATACAACATTTAAACACATAATCAATATTGCCATCTGACCAACAATTGTGGTTCTTAATTGGGACATGTGTTTCAGATGTAGCAGAGGAAAACACTTTGTGAGACTTTGAATTGGAACATTGTATTTAAAAATAGAACAGCTTTTTCATGTATGTGGCCCTTAACCACATCACATCTATCTCTTGTTGTTGTGAAAAACTAAAAATATAAAATAAAAATGTGAAGCTCATTACCGTAATTAAGAATGGGAGGAAATATACTGATTTCTATTTGAAACTTCTGATAATTTTGGTTTGTATCACTGCTGGCTTGCATCAGAAAATCAGATAGAATTGGAAGTCAGTCTAACTATGATTTTTGCCTCCGGGCTTGGTTTTCTCCATTTCTGAGGAACATGTGCAGAACATTTTTATTGCATTATTGACTGCTACTAATCTCTATTTTTTAAAATGCATTTTTACTCTTTTTTCCTGTTTATTTTTAGGTTCTTGGAAGAAGAAACCTCCAAATGGCTAGACCATTTTGAGGGCAGTGGAGTTCCATACGGTCCAATCAACAGCATGAAGCAGGTGTTCTCAGATCCTCAGGTCAGTTATCTTGGAAACACTTACATGCTGTATGTTCTTTAAAATATCCAATTACTATCACTGGTACTATTAATTAAGTAATGTTTGATATATATTTTATCTTTTCTCTGAGAATTCAAAGCAGCTTACCTTTATTCCCTCATCAAGATAAGTTGGGCTGAGAGCAAATAAACTACTCTAAATTCGCCAAATAATCTTTGTAGCTGACCCTCCCCCAGTTTAAAACTAACATCACTTTTAAAATAACTTTTTATAGACATTGTGAAAGTCATTTTAAAAAAATGAAAAATGTTTTTTGTCTCATAGGATAGTTTGTAGGGTCCTAAACCACATTCTAATGACTTGACATTAAGGTCTTTGCATTATAAACACTAGACTGTTGGGTGGGTCTTGTTCAAGTGTGGACTTGTCATTTTAAATCCAATAATACAATCCATGATTGTCGTTGTCAGCCACTCTATGGATCAGCATTCTCCATTCCCCTATGTCTGACACCTTCTCCTTCAGATCCAATCCAAAGTGTTCAAATTTGCTAGTTGCCAGCTGCTATGATTCATAATGCTAAACATGTAAAATGTAATTACTTTTACAGTTAACTCTTATTTGAAAAGCTCAAGTTTAAATTTATTAATGTATTTATAATGGACAAAAGGAAGATTTTATCTATGGAGATCTCACAAATAGGAATAATGAAACAGATTCTCTTTAATACTTCCATTTTACCTAAAATTCTATTAATAAATGTACTTTCATACTTTAAAAACTCATCCTATTTTTTCTAGAGGAGTCTCATTTGATGTTGATACTAATTTTTAAATTATAATGACAGTAGGCTGCACTTTTTGAGATTAAATGAGTAAAAAGATTTTTTACTCTATTATTATTCCATCCCTCATTGTTAACATGGATACATTAATAAGGCACTAATTCAATATTTTCTATTTTATATCTTATATGAGAAGTAACCATTACTACAAAGAACATCCCAGAAAACTTGTTGGATGTGTTGTTCTAAAACCAGAAATTTTGTTAACTGCTCATATTACTCAGATCTATACTTAGCAGCACATTGCTTCTTAATAAGAATATTTTATAACAATTTACCAACTACAGTAAACAGCAAGAACTAAAACAAAAAACAGAAGCACCTTTTAACTAAATAAAAATGCCTTTCTCTATATTCAGAATACCAAAAAAAAAAAAAGCGTAATGGAAAAAGGTAGTCAGAGATACATTAGAATTGTTTTGGAATAAGAATCCCACAGCCAATAAAAAGAAGATGTTAATCATTAAAGAGAAAAAAAGATTATTACCTATCATATTGTAGAATCTGCTCCACAAGACAGATGGCAGCGATTAAAAGTTACAGTGTTTTTAACTTCAAAGACAAGAATAACATGCCATTTTTCCTTTATTGGCTACATGTATGTTGTTACTTTACATGGCAAAGTATTACCTTCTTGCAACACATATACTCCCCAAATAATCATTAAGAAGGTGAATTGTTATAAAAATGCTGACTTATTATTCTACTGAATTTTGAAGCTCCTGGCTATGTGTATGAATTTGCAGCAGTTGTTTTCCTGTGTTTAACTTGCTTGTCTGGAGATAATGGTGAAGGGCTTTTATTGGTTACAATTGATTTCTATAAAAATAGAAATGTATCGGTAGATACTACATCGTCATTTATGGGAAGAGAAAGAGCAGTAAGAATATTGCCTTATTAGTAAGAAAGCCAATTTTTACACATTAGAAATTTCCAGATATTTAAACCTCAGATTTTGAATATTGAGATATGCAGATAATTTTACAAGTGTTCATATCTACAGTTATGCTAAGGTGGTGATTAATTATGTATGCAACAGACTGAAAAGCTAAATATTTGTAACTTTGTGAGAGATGAAATTTAAAAATTAAACTGAGAGTAAGATAGCTTCTTTCAAAAATTCTTCTGTTGTAAATGATACATAATTTCTATACTGGCTTTACTTAATTATTACTCAACTTCCAAATTTATGTTAAGGACCCTGAATACTTTAGTATTTTCAATCTGTTCTCTCATCTCCATTCCACCACTTGATGCTCTTCCTCATTAGGCTTTTTACAGATGCTAACATTTTCTATTATTTGTCATATGATAAGGACACATCTGTTCTGAGAAAGGAAAACATTTGCTTCCCAGATTGTCCAAATAAAATAGCCACATTTGTATGCATTATAATTTGAAATGAAATTGTCTCTTTATATCAGATAATAATATATATACTTATGTCTTTCCAGTGGGAAAACTGTCCTATGGCAATTTATAACATGAAATACAATAAAAATGAAATTTAAAATCCACAAATCAGCACAGTAAACTGTTTAAGCAGTCAAAGAATTCAAGTTACTAACAGTGGAGACCTTCCGAGATGCAACAGTTTTTAGAAGCTGGAAAAAACAGGAACACATTTTTCTAACATGTCAGAGAATGGTAATATTGGTTACCAACTGGTGGAAGTAGCTATATACAATAATCACACTGGGTTGCAGGAGAGAGACAGAATGCTTTAGTCACAGTATTTACATGAATATGTATTCTGTGAGTTGCATTTGGATTAAATTACCCATGATATAGTGAAAAAGAAGTAAAATTTAGTACAACATGCTTTCTTCCAATATCTTTTTTAAAACTGACATATAGAAATTGGTATAGATTGCTAAAAAAAATGACTGACTTTTAAATGAGTTTAGGATTCAAATTGAATTTACCATATTTTAAGACAAATTTGATTAAGTAGAAAGTACCATATTTTTCGCCCCATAAGACACTTTTTTTCCCTCCCAAAAGTGGGTAGAAATGTCTGTGCGTCTTGTGGAGCAAATATGGGTGACAGGCAGCAGCGGCGAATAGCGGCAGCAATTCCCGCCGCCTGGAAGAGCTGATCAGTGGTATTCTGGGAGGCTGATTCAACTGCTGATCAGCTGCTCACAGGTGAAGGCTCCAGCGTTCCCTAGCGGAGGCAGCAGACACAGAGGAGGGAGCTGACCAGGCTGTTTGCTGTTTGCTGCAAGGATGCTAGCCAGATGAATACCGGATGGACGCTGGAAGGCAGAGGCAGATTTTTTTTCTTGTTTTCCTCCTCTAAACCTAGGTGCATCTTATGGTCAGGAGCGTCTTATGGGGCGAAAAATACAATAATAACATTTACATATTTAAAGTATTTGGTTTTCTGACAGATGTTCAATTTTCTTTGATTGGCAATAACAAAACAATGAAAAATGAATGGATTAGGAACTTATGCAAAATGTATTTTTTCATTCAATTGCATACAATTCACTGACAATGTATCTGCATATATTTGATTTTAAGTATATGGCATTTCCTAACTCATTTGATATTTCACTGTTTAAAAGAGAGGTCTCCTTTGAATTGCACTTACTTCCTGATAGTCATGTTGTCATTGGGTTTAATTTTGGAAGAGATTTAGGAAGTGGTTACAAGACTCAGAGTAGAATAAAGACATTTACTGATTTTTAGTTCAGTTCTAAGTTACTAGAACTCTTCCCTGAGACTTCTGAAATGTTTGTCTCCTTGTTTCATTTCTGTCTTGTTTTTGAAACTGAGTTTATTATCAGAAATAGGATGCTTAAATCTAAGAACACTATTTTGTTTTAGATGTTTTTTCTTTTGAAGCTTGACGAGAAGCAAAAGTCTCACTGTTTATTTTTTTAAAAAAGCAATATTTTCTACAGTATGATCTTGTGAATATGAGATAGACAAAAATCTAGTGAGAGAATAACAAAGGACATAATGTTACTTACATCTTTATAACATTATTTCTTACCTGTTAAAATTTTACGGGGAAAAAGGACTTTATAGTAGTAAATATGTCAGCTTTAAATTGTGTTTGTGTACCATATATGAAAGGGATATTTAAAAAATAAAAAAAACCGAAGAACCAGAGAATTGGTTCTAATTATACTTGCACATGAAAGCAAAAAAGAATAGAAAATGTATCCAGATATCAGTTCATCCTTACAGATGGAAAGCTGAACAAAAAGAAAGTAGATTTATGTTTTTCTCCTTGAAGAAGATGAATTCCCTCCTGGAATTCCATTAATGGGTGTGGGAATATATAGTGTAGGGCATATTTTCCATTCAGTATTCAACCTCCATCCTAAACTAATGTAGTACTATACATACACATACACCCAGGATACATGCATATATACTACATCCATCCATACAAATATTTACTTGAAGCATGTCTATTCTGGCTTTTATCAGATTGTATTGGATTATCATAGCATAGACATCGTTGGTGGATTGGATTTTTTTCTTTCTTTTAAAGGATAAGCATTTTCAAGATCTATTCCGTAATTTTAGGAAACTTTTTGAAACAGTTTTTCCAAAGTTGTACCAAACTGAAGTAAAACAGAAAAAAGGAATGATAGATTTGAATGTTTTAATGAATGAATGTAGTCCTCAATTGCAAAAAAAAAAAAGAAGAAGAAGAAGAAAAGAAAAGAAAAAAGAAAGAAAAGAAAGAAGATATTAAATCAGGGCAATTTAACAATTTTACATGTTTGGTTAACATATAAGGCACATATTATGTAGAACATTTTTCAATTAAGTAAATTACAATGATGCTGGCCATTTCATGCATTTTTTTTTTTTTAATAAGTAGGCATTTCCAAACTTTGTTTTTTAAACAGGCCTTTAATCAGTCCAAGATTTATGTACAGCATTAAAAGAATTCCCAACAATCTTTAAATCAGCCTTGCTCAACCTGCTGTTTTGCAGATGTGTAGGTACTATAACTTCCAGAATCCCTGCCAGCATACCTAGAGGTTATTGTAATCCAAACACATCTGGAAGGTATGGGGTTGGAAAAGGCTAGTTTAAACATTCACTTGCTGTCAGACTGAAGCAACCAGAGCCATTCATGTATAGTTAAAATCAGTTGCTTGTCTGCTACCTAATTATAAGATTCTCAGCGGATTGTTTGCCTTCCTTC